CTTTCCTAGCATTATTGTCCTATCTAATGACTCATGACATCTCATGATGTGGCCAAAGTATGACAGTCTAAGTTGTGTCATCTTGGCTTCCAGGGAGATTTCTGGCTAGATCTGCTCTAGGACCCATTTGTTTGTCTTTTCGGCTGTCCACAGTATCATCAAGACTCTTCTCCAGCACCACATTATCTCAAATGCATTGATTTTCCTCTTAACTGCCTTCTTCACTGTCCATTTCTCACATCTGTACATGGTGATGGGGAACACAATGGCTTGGATAATTCAGTTGTATATCTTTGCTCTTTATGATCTTGTCTAGTTCCTTCATAGTTGCCCTTCCCATCCCTCTGGTATTACTACGACTACTATATTCATATTTAGAGTTAAAGACATATAAAAACATATAACACATTGAGCACGGAGCAAGCTTGTTTCTGCTGCTCCAGAGACTATAACACAGAACAATGGATGCAAGCTGCAGGAAAAGAGATTCAACTTAAACATTAGGAGGAACTTCCTGACAGTAAGAGCTGTTCGACAGTGGACCACACTCCCTCAGAGAGTGGTGGAGTCTCCTTCTTTGGAAGTTTTTAAACAGAGGCTGGATGGCCATCTGTCAGGGATGCTTTGATTGTGATTTCCTGCATGGCAGAATGGGGTTGGACTGGATGGCCCTTGTGGTCTCTTCCAACTCTATGGTTCTATGAAAAAAGTTAACATTAAAATTGGATTAATTTATTGACAATAATAAAATTAGTTAAAACTACACTTAAAAAGATAAAATAGGTAGGTGGCTAAGACTATTATTTCATATGGCATCAGTCATGAAAACTGGGGAAGCTTCTTTCTCTGTTTTAACTGCATGTGTGTGCGCTTTAAAACCTACTTTTAAATAAACAGCTGCATGAGCCAGTGTGATGTAGTGATTTTAGTGCTGGACTATGAATCTGCACGGTTCAAATCCTGACTCAGCCAGGGAAACCGCCTGAATGACCTTGAGCAAGTCACACACTCTCAGCCTCAGAAGAAGGCAAAGTCAAACCCGTTGTGAACAAATTGTATCTAGAAAACCCCATGGCAGGTTTGGCTTAGGGTCACTATAAGTTGGAAAGAACTTGAAGGCACACAACACCAAATTCTGGATTCAAATTACTTTGCCCATTCTGTTTATATTTAATGTTTCAAGTCATGTTTTCAAGTGTTGCACATTGCCTTGGGGCCCTGGAGGGTAATAAGTAAATAATTCAAAGTCTATCTTTCACTCAAACCTGGGACTTTAGGCAGTTTACAATGAGATTATTAAAAAACGTATTACAAATAAAAGTTGCAATATTAAAACACTGTTAAAGAAATAATATTAAAACACAACAAAATTGCACGATTACAGACACCAATTTAAGTAATTTCTGTTTAAAAATAAAGCAGTGGTTAACCAAAACTAAAGGGCAGTTTTCAAACAAGCTGCAGTTTTGCACAAACCATCACTTTGTTCCTGCTGTGAACCTATATATTGTTGACCAAGACTAATGGGATGCAAAACTTCAAGTGTTTCTTAAGCATTTCCCTTGTTTGCTTGGGAAGCTTTGCACCGGACATCAAGATTGTTTCGTTTCTTCAAGATCTTGTAATCTTACCCAAAACTGCAGGATGCCATCCAACAATTATAAGATGAAGAAAATCACAGCCCTCTGTTACCTGGAACCTAAGCCTGGAAAAAATTACATTTTAGAGAGTATAGCCACAATGGCCTCACTTGTAACTTTTCCAAAGTAACTTATCCTGGTAGAATTCTGGGATCCGTGGTCCAAAAAAAAGAGTTTCCCCCATATTCTACATGAGAATGACAATTACATGGAACTGCCTTAACTTAAAACAAAAGAAAGCAAAACAAAAAACAGCTCCAACACTACAGTCCTGAGCAGAGAACTGGGGAGAAAGATGAGGATTTGCTTATTATTAACTTTTCCCTTCAGGCCATTTTTTTGCTCAAAGACAGCTCTCTCAAGTTTTGACAATCCGGTTTAGCGCCACTTTGACTGCCATGGCTCTATGCTATGGAGTTCTGGGAACTGTAATTTGTTGTGGCACCACAATAAACTACAGCTCCCCGAATTCCATAGTATGGAACCACGGCAGTCAACATGATGCCAAACCAGATTATTTCTGTGATGTGGATGCAGCCGCAGCCTTGGTCTCCCAGTGTCCTAACATTCAAACCACTACATCACAGTCTCTCTCAATTCCCACCCACCCACCCAAAGCTACTTAACTCAGTAACCTGTGGCAATGAGTTCCATAAACCACCTATACTGAGCCATACCCAACAATTAATAATAATAACAATAATAATTATTTATACCCCGCCCCTCTGACAAACAATCGGGGCGGCTAACAGCAATTAAAATTCCATACAGTATATACAATCCAACAACCCCAAACCCACCCAGCCCTTAAAAAAGTATTAAACCAGTTATCTGTTAAATTATCTTAATTAAAACAGCAT